GAAAAATCGCAATAGCAACAATCGTAGCAATACGAATTTGTATCGTAGAAATGCTCGTCGGAGCACTCGTATTGGTATCAGGAGAGGTAGTGGCCGCAGCTGTGGCAATAGAAATGATCAGAATCGTGTGCGGTTGTGCGGCGTACGGATGTACATGCGCATGGAACCTCGAAAAGCAAATGCTCGGACATTGCATATTTGCTATGCAAGCAAAAAGCAACAATTCGCCCAGGAAGGTTTTGAGGTCATGGTGTGGGGGGGCCCCTCCTCTGAAATGTTCAAACCATACTGAAAAATCGCACTGGGGGGGGTCGAATACTGGTGGTGACGGGCAAAGTAGCCGTAACAATTCTGTTAGCAGTTCTAGTAGTAACAGAATTAGTAGCCGTAGTCGCAATGGTCCTCATGGTGGTAGTAGTAGTCGTAGTAGTAGTAGTGGTAGAAGTAGTAGTAGTAGTAGTAGTAGTAGTAGTAGTAGTAGTAGTAGTAGTAGTAGTAGTAGTAGTAGTAATGATAGTAGCAGTAGTAGTAATTCTATTATTGAACAGAGTCGTAGTAGTAGTCGCAGTAGTAGGAGTAATAGTCGTCGTCGTGGGGGCAGTAATGGTAGTCGTAGAAGTGTTAACATTCGGGGTCGTAGTAGCAGTAGTAGAAGTAAACGTAGTAGTACTAGAGCTAGTACTAGAACTAGTAATACTAGTAATAGCCGCCGCAATCGTAGTAGTGGTCGTCATCGTATTAGTAGCAACCGTAGTGGTAGTAGAAGCAGTGGCAGTAGGGATCGGCAAAATACTACTAATAATCGAACGGGTAAAAATAATAACAATAGGCGCTGAGAGCCGGCGACACCCGCTGCAGCTATGCATCGTTCTAACTGTTCCAAACTCGCAAGAGAACTGTGGCCTACGCGATTCCAGTCTGCTTCAGGTTTCCCCTCCCCGTCATCACACCCACAGCAATACGTGATATTTGTGTGCCGCGATAGTGCCTTCTCAGCCTCGCTTGCCCGCTGTGGCCCGGCATGTTTTGCAACAGTATGCAATATTTCCAAGTGCCCTACGAGGGAGGCACGCAGATGCCTTTTCAACTCATTTATGGGCTTCGCCAGTCCAGCCTTCTTGTTCACCTCGTGTGGCCTCCGAGTCGCAGCCGGCTCGCCCTCAATCTCTGCATCCTCTTGCACCGCGGTGCCGCTTGAGGCTGCTATGGCTCTGCGTTTCGCGGGCGCCTTCCCTTTCGCCACCGCCATTGGGATACAGACTTGAAAGCAAAGGTGTGGAATAAGCTTGGACCTCGACGGCTACAGGCCCACAACACTGAACCTGCCTCTCCCCCGCCTCCTCCTCCAACTCTTCCTCACCGTAGTCACCACGTCACCACCCTTCTCGTCCCTATCATCCTATTTGTCATTATCGAAGACACCACCATCGTCATCCTCATCATCGTCATCCTTATCATCGTCATCCTCATCATCGTCGTCATCCTTATCATCGTCATCGTCGTCATCAGCATCGTCATCGTCGTCGTCATCGACATCATCATCATCATCATCATCATCGTCAACGTCATCGGCATCAGCATCATCATCACCAACAGCATCTTCATCACCATCCACCGCCATCAACAACCTCATCAATTGGAGCTGCTGCAACTGAGAAGGCTCGACTGGCACGGTCGCAGGACTTGCCGCAGGCAGCTGGATACCTTGTGCGCCGCAGAAAGCGTTACGGAGAGGGGTAAGTGGGCGGGGGGGGGAGGTGGGAGAGGAGGGGAGGGGAGAAAGGGGGGAGGGTTGTGGGGAGGGAGGGCGGCGGAAGGAGGGAGGGGAAGCAGGGTGGGGGGGAGGGATCTGGGGAGGGAGAGGGGGAGGGAGGGAGGGAGGAAAACAGGGAGGGACAGAAGACGGATAGTCGAATCGCAACACGCCGAACGCCCCGGATCGGCGGCACAGGCCGGAGGCCATTACAATACTACTAGTAATCGAACGGGTAAAAATAACAACAATATGCGCTGAGAGTCATATTATAGTTGGTGTTAATGGTCGTGTCAAGGGTAGTAGCAGTAGCGAATCGTACCGGTAGTACTAGTAGTACTATATTTAGTAAAAATACTAGTAATCGTAGTAGTGAGAGTAGTAGCAGCATGAGCGATGAAAGTAGAAGTGCTGGTGGTAGTGGTGTGGTACCAATGCAAGTAATCACAGAAGTGGTGTAAGCCGCAATGGTCGTCGTAATCGTGGTAGTTGTGGTAGTAGTAGTAGTAGCAGTAGTGGCAGTCGTAGTAGTAGTAGTAGTAGTAGTAGTAGTAGTAGTAGTAGTGGTAGTAGTAGCAGTAGTAGTAGTAGTAGTAGTAGTAGTAGTAGTAGTACAACAGAGACGATGAACGTAGCAGTGGTGGTGGTAGTAGTATCAATGCGAGTGAAAATAGAAGTGGTAATAGTCGCAATGGTAGTCGTAATCGTGATAGTTGTGGTAGTAGTAGTAGTAGTAGTAATAGTAGTAGTAGTAGTCGTAGTAGTAGTAGTAGTAGTAGTAGTAGTAATAACAGTAGTAGTTGTAGTAGTCGTAAGCGTTTTAGTAGAACTAGTCAGAATCATGTTCGTAGTCGTCGTCGTCGTAACAGTCGCAGGTTGGTGGACTTGTACTAGCAATAGCAATCTCGCGTGTGGGTACTCGTTATCGCAGTACGATTAGTGCACATAATAATAGCAACAACAAGAGTAATAGTTGTAGAAATCCTAGTCGTGAAGATGATAATAATGGAGTGGTGGTAGTAATAGTCGTTGTAATGACAGTAGCAGTTGTAGCGTTTGTCGTAGCAGATGAAATAGTAATAACAGTGGTAGTGATAATCGAACTAATAGAAAAAATCACAGCAGTAGTAATACCAAAAGCCGAACTCGTAGTTCTCGTAGTCGTGAAAGTAGAAATCACAAACAACTGATAGTAATCGTAGCATTAATCGCGGTAGTACTAGGTCGTAGTAGATGTCGTAGTAGTAGCAATACAATCATAGCCGTCGTAGTGGTAGTGATAGTTGTCGTAATACTAGTGGGACTAGTGATGACAGTAGTAGTAGTAGTAGTAGTAGTAGTAGTAGTAGTAGTAGTGGTAGTAGTAGTAGTAGTAGTCGTAGTACTATAAGTCGTGGGAATAATCGTACTAGCATTCGTAGTAATAGGGGTAGTATTAGCAATAGGAAAAATAGTCGTAGTAGTCGCACTAACCGTAGTAGTAGTAGTGGTAGAAGTGGTACTAGCAGAAGTACTATGAGTCGTGGGAATAATCGTACTAGATCTCGTATTAATAATGGTAGTAAAAACAATAGGTATAAGAGTCGCAGTCGTAGTCTTAGTCGTAGTAGCCGTAGTCGTAGCAGTAATCGTCGTCGTCGTCGTAGTAGTAGTAGTAGTAATAGTGATGGTAATCGTAGTAGTAGCAGCAGTGGTATGTGTAGTAGTGGTACAGTTAGTCGTAGTAGTACTCGTCGTCGTCGTCGTAGTAGTAGTAGTCGTAGAAGTATCAGCCGTAGTAGTAGTAGTAGTAGTAGTAGTAGCAGTAGTAGTAGTAGTAGTAGCAGTCGTACTAGTAGTAGTAGTAGTAGCAGTAGTAGTAGTAGTCGTAGTAGAAGTAGTAGTAGTAAAAGTAGTAGTCGTAGTAGTAGTCGCAGTAGTAGTAGTAGTAGTAGTAGTAGCAGTAGTAATAGTCGTAGTTGTTGTGGTAGTAGTAGTCGCAGTAGTAGTAGTAGTAGTAGTAGTAGTAGAAGTAGTTGTAGGTAGTAGCAGCAGCAGCAGCAGCAGTAGTAGTAGGAGTAGCAGTAGCAGTAGTAGTAGTAGTAGTAGTAGTAGTAGTAGTACTGGTAGTAGTAATCGTGGTAGTAATAGTAGTAGTAGTAGTAACAGCAGCAGCAGTAGCAGTCGTAGCAGTAGCAGTGGTAGTAGTAGTAGTAGTAGTAGTAGTAGTAGTAGTAGTAGTAGTAGTAGTGGTAGTGGTAGTGGTAGTAGTAGTACTATAGTAGTAGTAGTAGTAGTAGTAGTCGTCGTAATCGTGATTGCAGTCATAGTAATTGTAGTAGACGCAGCAGGCGTAGTAGTAGTAGTAGTAGTAGTAGTAGTAGTAGTAGTAGTAATAGTAGTAATAGAAATAGTCGCAATAGTTGTAGCAGTTACAATCGTGCAGCTACGCTTCAAACTTGGTCAAAAGATTGCAACAATTGCCCCCCCGCCCTTCCGTTGGACCGAAAGTGTCTTGCCCTGACAGAATCAACTCAGTGGTGGAAGGGGAGGGGGTAGGCTTGATTGTCCGGATATGCGGTTGGCGACGACGACGATGGTTGGCGGGCGGATCCCACGGCGGCGGGCGACGGCGGTCGCAGCCACGAGGGGGCGGGGACCGGGAAAGGGCGCCGACGCTGGCGTCCTCGGCCTCCTGCATGTCGGCGTCACGCGGCCTCTCCTCCTCCTCCGCGATGCCAGGCCCGCAGGCGCCTGGGCGGCAGCATCGTCGTCGTCGTCCTCGTCGTCTTCGTCGTCGTCGTCGTCCCCTCCTCATCCTCCTCCTCCTACTCCTCCTCCTTGGCTTCCTCGTCGTTGTGGATAGCGGCCAGGGGTAGATGACAGAAGAACCGCCCTGATAGTAAGTACCGCTACAGGCAAGGCCCTTACACACGTAAGCAGGGGATCGAATAGGGCAGAGCTATTTAGTAAGCGCCCAGGTCTGATGAGCAAGCGCGGTGGACAGAGTGATATTTCCCTCCCTTGAAGAGCGACGCACACCGAGGATACTACGGTCAAGACGCCACTCCTGGTGCGGCAAGCATCAGCTCGGGGGGGGTGGCACCGACCTGGAATCGGCAATGCACAGCCGATAGATCGGCGATGGAGGACCCCGACAGCGAATCCGAGCCGCCCTGGGCAGGGTGTGCCATCGGGCCCCTATCGGTGGTGAATGGGCGATTGAGTGTCGATGCCTCCCCCCCTGGAGCCTATCCCCCACCCAAGCGTTGCCCATGATGGCGGCACCGCCGCGAGCTCGTGAGCTACCTCACCCCGCGACGGAGATTGCCGGCGACCTCAGGCCCGACAAGGGCTGCTCGGTGCCGTGCCCACCGAACGAAGCACGGCCAACTTCCCAGAAGGGGGCTCAAGATCGGCCGTGAACTGCCGCTGCTCGGCGCCATCCCGGTGGGCGAGAGGACGGCGCGGGGGGGGGGGGGGGGGTGCACTCTGCGTCGCAGCGGTCGCCTGAAGCGGGTCGGTGCTCCCCGTGTCCCAGGGGGCCTGCCTTGAGGGGAATCAAAAACCCGCGTAAGGATAAACTGTCGGAGGTCCGCGCGGATTTCTTGGGGGGTCCAGCGCCGATCCAATAAATCCGCGCTGACCTACCAAATTGTTGTGCGTCGGTGCCTCCCCACGGTCCCCAGGACAGGCGTCTCCCGCGGGTGGGGAAGCTATATTTTTGCAACTTTCGTTTTGCCCGTCGAGCCCACGTGGGCGCCCAGACCCCTCCAGGGGCGCAATCTGACCAGGGCGTCGTGGGAAATCAGGCCGTGGCGACAAGGAGCCCCACGGAGCCTAGATCCTCGCATTGCCCTCACTTCCGACTGACTGCGTTCTGCAATCCGAGGGTCCCAGGAGACTCGACTCCTTCCTCGGGACAATTGCGTCCTGCAAGTATTTCCCCGATCAGAGCTTGCCTCTTTAGGGGTCCTAGCGGATTCATATGGTTAGGTGAGGTGCGGCGCCGATTTGGTGGCCGGCGGCCGGGTGCCCGGGGGTGCCCGGGGGTGCCCGGGGGTGCCCGGGGGTGCCCGGTTCAGGATTTCGGTGGCCGGTGGCTGGGTGCCCGGGTGCCCGTGGGTGCCCGGGTGCCCGGGTGCTCGGGGGTGCCCGGAGGTGCCCGGGGGTCCCCTGATACCCTATAGCAATATAGCCCTATAGCCTATAGCTCTATAGCCCAACAGCCCAATTGCCCAACAGCTCATATAGCCCATATAGCCTTATGGCCCAACAGCCCTATAGCCCTATAGCCCTATAGCTCTATGGCCCTAGAGCCCTAGAGCCCTATAGCTCGAGAGCCATAGTCCTACAGCCCTACAGCTCTGTAGCCATATAGCCCTATAGCCATATAGCCCTATAGGTATCATTCTGATGACACCGGGAACACAGAAACGGTCACCAGAAACCATTATGAAAGAGACATACCGGGGTTGAAGCAATAAATCAGCTAAAGGTCCAGGAGCCTCGGTCCTCGAAGTTCGTCTGACGTCTTCATATGTTTTGGACATGGGGTCCCCGATGTCCCAAGAAGTTTCTTGACGGCCCTCCTTCGGAGCGGCACGCAAACGGCGGCCACTCCTGGGGGGAACAGGTGCTCGGGCCAGGGCTTCTAGACTGCCATACTGGGGAGCGCGTAGGCGCCCTCGATCCCCTCCCAAAAACAATATGTTCGTCCCGAGCCGTTCCTTAACGGCCACGCGGCCCAACGAGGGCCTCCAATGGCCGAAAACGGCGAGCAACATCCGGGCGGAGTGATCCAGTGCGGCGTTGAAGGTCCAAGAAGATCATCCCTCGAAGTCGCCTGCCCCGCGCACCCATGCCGTGCGCCCAGCTCGAAGTTCGAGATTTGTTACTCGACACTCGAAACTCGTTCCTCGAAACTGGATCCTCAGTTCTCGAAGCTCGTTCCTCGAAGTTCGTTTCTCGAAGTCTCGGGTGCGCTGAAGGGGGGATCAGGAAGAGAGGGTTAGCGCACCATGACCCGCAGCATGTGCTCGGACGAAGGATGTCAGGGAACATCATGTTATCAGAGAAGATTCATGGTCCCAGCCGTGCTACATATCTACGCACCCCTCATGTTCACCTCCCCAATGCAGCCAGCCAGCCGATCCCTAACCCCAAGCGGTGGAGAATGGGAAGGGGGAGGGGGAGGGGGAGAAATCGGGGATCGAGATGAGGCAAAACAGATCAAAGGCGCCGAGGGGGCTGGTCCACGTCAGAGCTTAACCTCACGAGGCCCCTGCGGGTGTAGGTGCATGCAGGGCCAAGGCCTCTGCCTTGACACCCCCGACCTGCCTGGGGCGCCCCCCTCCGACTCTGAGTGAGGGGGCGGGCCCCGCCCGAGGAGCCCGACCCTCGCCCATCCCTCCTGCCCTGCCGCGCGCGTGCCCCACGCCAGGGCGCCTCCCCTGCCCACGGCGTCGACGCCCGGCCAGGTCGAGTGTCCGAGCCTGCGGTCGGAGGCAGCGGCCCCTGGAGGAAGCATCGCCGCCGCCGACGCCCGCGTCGTCCCGACGGTTGTCAGGACGTGTGGTGTCGAGGCAGAGACAGCTGCGGAGGGCGGAGCGAGCTCCAGGATCAGCGGTAGGCGACACTCCCTGGCGCGCGGGGCGCGCCATGGGTCGGCGCCGGGGGCGCCCGCAGGAGCCCCAGCGCCGATCGAACAAGTCCACAGGGATCTCAAGAAGGTAGAATGTTTATGCACGTGTTTATTGTTCGACTGTCAACGCCAACGTGTGCGTGCGCACTGTAACTCGCAGATGGTGCACGCGCAAAGCTGCGCACGTCACAGGATGTCACTGTACGCCACTGGGTCGCAGGTGCTGAGCGCGCTAACCTACACGCAGAACACATTGCCGAGTCATGCCAGATCACTCGGGGACGTCGACGGCGTCGTCCCCTCCGTTGCTCTCGTCCTAGTCCTCGTCGATGACGTCTTCCTTTTTCCTCGTCATCGTCGTCGTCCTCCTCGTCATTCTTTCGTCGTCGAGATTGCCATCATCGTTGTCGATAGCGGCGCTGCCTGTGCCTGTGGAGGCGCCCAAAAATGTCCAGATACATCCAGGGGCTTCTCCGCAGACCATCATTTCCTGACCAAGCAGCCCAAATTCTGACAACTGGGCATTGTCGTTACTCGGGTTTCCAAATCCCGGGTGTGCAATCTCCAGGATAGTGTTGACGGAAGTTCCCTGTACGAACTCTTGCGACATGGCAATCTTTTTCCGATGCGTTGGTGCAAGAGTGTCTACGGCTCGGGCACTAGACAGAATCGCGCGCACATGTTGCCGCTACGCTCATGTGGCAAACCATCTAAAAATGATTGACGCTTCGTGCATCCCCACCAAACTGAAGTATATCGATGGCCTTCCTGGGCTGTCTGGCCCGTCCCTCCTCCTGCGGCTGTCCCCCCGCAAGAGGTGAACGGGCCCACCCACTGTTTACTTCTGCGGAAGTCAGCTGCGACCGCCACCAGCAGTGCGAACGTGGCCCTCGGCGCTCTCCCCGGGGCGCTGGGGCCAGTGCCAGCAGACACCAAGCCCCTCTCCCTGCGGCTGTACCCCGCAAGAGGTGCTCGGGTCCACCACAGAGCAACCGTGGCCTCTGCACCCGTCGCTCTACGCTGGTTCCGTTCGGGGGCCATGGTCCGTGGTGCGTCGCCTGCTCGGACGGGCACGCATCGCCGATTGGGGCTCCGGATGCAGCGTTCCTGTTGGCACTTATTTGGAGGTTGCCCGCTTGCGTGATGTGTTACGCGATGTTGTTCCTGACGACGGCGGTGGTGTTCTGGCTCCATATTCGGCAAATGCTGTGTCGTAGCTGAGGAGAAGTTCGTCGAGGATGACGTCGTCGCAGTTGGGCGCTGTCGATCCCTTCGACACTCGGGCTCGGCTGTCTTCGACTTCTGAGCGACGGTTGAACCCAGGCGCGTAGCCAGCAATGTTCGGCTGCTCGCTCGCTGCACGCGCTTCCGTTCTAGCCCGCGGCCTTCAGGTCCTTGCTTGATCCTTGTGACGGCGCGCGGCTCTCCCGCGTGCGCTCGCGAGCAAAAACGTATCCCCGCCAAACTTTTCCCTGTGAGCTAATTTAGGCCGTTGCCCCTGTGCTGTGCTTCGCCACTTGACGCCGCCCGACCTTTTCGCCGCGGTCGCGATCAAACACCCCCACCAAACCATCCAGAAACAGATCTCCTGGCGAGTTGCTTTCATCAAGGAAGTCTAGAAACGTGCAGTGCAACAGCCGTCTTGGAAGTGTTTTCTCGGGGGCCCCTTGGCCATCTTGGGTCTCTCTTGGGGTCCTCGCGGAGCCACTTGGGGCACTGCTGGAGCCCTCTTGGGGCTCTTTTGGAGGATCTGGGAGCCCTTCCCTCTCGGGGCTCTTTTGGGGTCTGGGCAGCCTCTTGAGGCCATTTTGGGCCGCGAGGCTCAACGGGAGAGGGATAAAGGATTCAGGCCCCCCCCCTTTGGAGGCTCAAACATGTCGTCTCGAGGCCCTCTGGAGTCGCTCCTGGAACGCTGCTGGGCGCTTTGGGGGGCCGATTTGGGTCCCTCTTGGAGATCCCTTGGGCCATCTTGGAACCATTTTTGGGCCTCCGAGGAACATCGGAAGCCGTGAGAAGCGACAGTGATGCCTCCTCCCGCGGCGGGCTCAGGAGCACGAGTGGCACCTACTCCTTCTGCAGGGGCGCCAGGGCCCAACAGCTCGACGCAGCCTGAAGTGACTCGACGAGTCCGCGGTGCACCCGGCGCCGTTCACTCAGCAGGCGTTATTGTTCCCGCGGCTCACTTGCGACCTCGGCCACTTGGAGTTCCTCCCCTGCCAGCCGCCGGTCGGGTGCCAAATATTCCGCGGGTCAGTCTCCTCAGTCCATGTTCTGGTCGCATCGCGGCCTTCTTCATCGCGGTGGCCCCGCGTGCGACCGCCAACCCAATGACTAGAGCTCGCGTTGTCCCACCAGAACTGTAAACCTTGCCAGGGCCTCGAAGAGGACCCACTTCCTCCTTCGTTCCTCCACGCGTTGTTGGGCGCCCTGCTACCTCTCTATCCACTTCCTCAACGCGGCCGTTAATTCGAACGATCGACATCGGCGCGGTGTGAGCCGTGCCTGTTGGAATTATTGCCATTTCAAGGGTTCCGCCCGCTCCCGGCGCCAACGCCCCTCAAATCGCGATCTTGGCGTCGGTTTGTCCATTTTATTTTGCCGGGCCATTGCGACGTCCCTTTCGCCAGAAGCACCCTTGCCAAAGTCTGTGCTGCGTTCTCAGATCCCGGATATCGCCTTCTGATCGCCAATCGCCAATGCCTTGTCCCCGTGCCAAGATGTGCCGTCAAACAACTAGACCGCAGTCAAGTCAGCAAAACGGAAAGCTGCAGCGCCAGGAACACGATCGCGACCATCAGACGGCCGCCGTCGCCAATGCCACCTCGCCGCTTCGCAATCGCACCCATCGACTCGACGCGCCCAGTAGCCCCCACTTCCCCCCTGCGGTTCTCTACCATTCGATGCAGCTCTTATACGTTCCGTCTGGCAACGCAGCGGCGCCCGTGCCAGGATCGCGCAATCCGGGTCGAGGTGCGTGATTGCCTCCTCGATTAGCGCGCCTCTCCTTACCGTATTATGGATCCCTTACGCGTTCCAGTCAAGAAACACGCTGGCGGGGTCGCCGAGTACGTCGTTGTGGCGCGACTCATGCGGAGCGTAGTATCTCTTGCAAGCCCCTGCAACAAATTCAACCACAGTACGAGTGAGCCCATCCTTATCTCCGAGCGTCCGTGGAGATGGCCTCTTCCACTCCTCGACTCTCACAGAGACGAGCATCTCCAGAGCGGCAGATGCGAATCTCTTCCTCTCGCCCACGAATTCCCCGCTGCGATCTACAGCGGGCTGTCCGCAAGACGCGTCGACCAGTGCTTCTCCTAGCTCAGCCAGAGGTCATTTGCAAAGCTCAAGCGTTACAATCGATTTCTAGCGTCGGGATGGCCTCCGCGCCGTCTCTTTCAGCTCGTTCGGTCCAAGACGCCGCGCAGAGCGCGCGCTCGAGGCCGGGGCCATAGCTCAGGTGGAGACCTGACTCTTGGAGGGCACGCCGTATCCTAAGGCCCGCTTGCGCCAGAGACATGGGCCGCCGCCGGCCGTCGGGCGAGGCGGCGGGAGGCGCGTCGGGGAAATCCTGGGCCCAGCGATCAAGGTCGGCCCCGATCGCGGCGGCCTCGAGGGAGGCCTGGGGGGTCCGCAGAACTCACGGCGCACGAATGCGAGGGCGGCGGCGGCGCGGGAGGCGGCGACGACGCACTGGAACCAGCGCGAGCGCCAAAGACGGGACCGAGGCCCGACATCAGCGCGAGAGGGGCGAGCCGAGAGCGGGCGAGGAGCTCGAGAGACGAGCTCTTGGGGGCGAACTGGGCCGGCCAAGGGGCGAAGGGAGTAGCTGTCCCAGAGCTCGGCGCGCCTACCAGCAGCCGGCAGACAGCTGGGCGCGACCGATGTTTCGCGTGCGAGTAGCAGCCTCCCCCACCGCCTTGGCCCAGGTGGCGCCCCTTCACCACGTCTAAACGTTCGTCTTCATGCCGGCCATCGCTGGGGGCCTGCCCTGGCGGTGCGCAGCAGCCGACAGCGGCCCCGAGGCATGGCTGGGAGGGGCGGGCGGCACAACTGCCGAAGGGGGAATGGCCCAGGACCTGCCCCCACCAGTCGATAGCACCAGTGGGCGCAAGGGCCGTCTTGAGGGAACGCTGACACGGATGTGTAGTGGTGTCGGCTTCACTGGCCGCCTCGTAGCTGAAGGGGGGAGCGCGGGCGAAGACGAGAGTGAGACCAAAGTCGAGCGCGCGCCCGTCACCGTCGGAAATGTTTTCGGTGCGCAAGGGGGGGCTGGCTGAGGGCGCGGCGCAGGGCGGGAGAATGGGCGGGGAAGGAGCTGCCGCGACAAGTGTGGGCGGCGACTGAGAGGCCCCGCACATACAAACAATGCCATCTCTGATCCCCCCCCTCCAACCCGTTGGGCCGTCGAGTGGCCATCTTTGGGCCCATCCTGGCTGGGAGGGCCTCTGCTTCTCAGAAGGCCACCCTGTTTCTCAGAAGGCCACCGCCCCCTCAGAAGACCGCCCCCGTCGCGCCACCCCCTTGCGCGCGCAGCCAGCCCTCCCACCCTCCCTCCGTCCTAGTCCCTCCAGAACACGAAAACGGCAAGCAAGGTACCAGATGAGAAAGGAGAAGAGGAGCAGCAGGAGGAAGGAGGAGGAGACGACCCCGAGATGACGACAACAGGCTCCGAGACGACGGGTCAGGAAGCCCGTGAAATCCGAGAGGGACCCTTCGGCTCCCCTTCTGCTGACGTGCTGGCGTAGAGGAAAGGGACTGTGGGACCCGATCGCCCAACAGAGGAGGGAGGAGGGGGAGGCAGGACGGAGGAGGCGAGGAACAAGTTGGTGCTTCGACCTCTTCCTCGCCCTCCTCCTCCTCCTCCTCCAGGAGACTGGAGAAATTGGACGGACTGCGGGGGGGGCGTCGGCCCGAGAGCAGCGGGAAGCGCAGAGCCGCACGCTCCTCCCCCCACCCTTTCCCCTCGAGGCGGGGGGCGCGGAGCATCTGCTTCCAGGTGGTGTACCCGAAGTGGAACAGGGCCTCCCTCCCCCCCTTCCCTCCCTCATAAGATAGCTCCGACCGTGAGCGAACTGGATGACCAGTATTAGTGCCACATCTTTGATAGCAGTGGACCGATGCGCGGGGCCATATTGTCACTGGCGTGCTGCGCATACTCACATCGTAGCTACGCGTAGCCATCCTGCCTGGTCGAACACCTGAAACATCTGCCATCAATGTTGTGCGCATGTATGTCTTACCACGATCTCGGTTAGGGCCATCTGTCAGCGACGTGTCCGAATGTGTCTTGTCATAGCTTGTTCCACACCTTCAGTGGACGTGTTGGCCTGAATATTACCAACGTACCCTTATGCGGTTTCTATGCCAACAAAAAAGGGCTCTGCATGCGCATGTCTGATCACACCGTGTTTCTTGTCCTGAGCCTCGCCCTCCCTCGTACTCGTGGTGGCCATGGGCAAGCGTCTCGTCTGTATTTCGTAAACGATTCTCAGCAGGACCGCAAAGATGGTGAACCCGCTCAGAAGGTGGCAAAGCATGTGCAGACGGCGCGGAAGGACGCGAAATGAGGCGGGGACGTCCTTCGGCAGCTTTTCTCCACCGTCCTTCTCTCTCCTCCCCTCCTCCTCTACCTCCTCCCTCCTCCTCCTCCTCCTCCTCCTCCTCCTCCTCCTCCTCCTCCTCCTCCTCCTCCTCCTCCCTCCTCCTCCACCTCCTCTCCTCCTCTCCTCCCTCCCCCTCTCCTCCCCTCCTCCTCTCTCCTCCTCCACCTCCTCCCTCCACCTCCTCCTGCTCTTTCTCCACCCTCCTCCTCCTCCGCCTTCTCCCTCCCTCCCTCCTCCTCCTCCTCCTCCTCCTCCTCCTCCTCCTCCTCCATCTTCCTCCTCATGCCCATCCTCGCCCCGAAACGCTGGGCTTCCACGGCCAGTCGACATCAGCGTCCCCGCGGGAGACGCCCGAACTCTTTGTCCGCCCACCCCCGCAGCCATGGGCTGAGGGGCAGAGACGCTGAAGTTGCTAGTTGGACTTCGGCGGTGACCAGGCATGGGCTGAGGGGCAGAGACGCTGAAGTTGCTAGTTGGACTTCGGCGGTGACCAGGAGGACCTTACTGCGCACCGATGGGCCAGGCAAGACCCACACTGGTCTTCCTGATCTGGCCGGGGGTGTACACACGCCGATCGCTGGCCCACGTTTGCCGTGGCTGGGATCGGCGTCGGAGAAGAACGCAACAGAGCACTCACACACTCTCACACACGCAAACACACAGACACACACACAGACAGACAGACACACACAAACACACACACACACACTTCTGAACAAAAACAACAACACACTTTGGGCCTAGCGGCAGCGACATGCATGGTGCGCGACGGAGGCGGGTTGGGCTCGTTTCTTTAAACCCCAACCTGCCGGGTGGGAAACAATGGTGTAGATCGCTCAGACCCGCGGCGACGCGCGGCACGGTCGTCGCAGAGAGTCGCGCCTCGGCGGGGTCCGCAGAGGCCTCGTCTTTGACGGCACCTGCCCAGACTGACGTCTGCCTCTGGGAGGTGGGCATCCAATAAAGAGAGCGGATCGGACGGGACTGCGCATCGAATCGGGCCACGTCGGCACGGAGCCGGAATTGGGTCGGATCGGCCGATCGGCCACGCCAAAATGCACAACACAACGACGCCATGCGAACATCGGGCCGCGACGGATCGTCGAAACATCGGACTCGGATCGGGCTGGCAGAGACCGGGCCTGTGGTCCTCGGGCCGCAGAGTGGGCCTCCGACCGCCGTCCGCGACGATCCGGGCACCCCCAGAACGCTCTCGGCGAAGCGCAGCTGCTGGAGACCACTGCAGGCCGCCTCGAACACTTTCGAGAAAGCGGGGCCAGAAGCAGAAGGCGGGGCTCGCGTCTTTGCGGGGGAGGCTGGGCAGAGGCCACAAAAATCTGGCACTGTAAGATCTTCGGATACCACCACAAGACACGAACGTGCCCAAGCGGAGCCGGGTGCGCTTTCCGCGCTCGCCCCGAAGTTTCGGACTTGGGAGGGAGTGGGCGATGGGCAGGGAGGCAGACGATCTCGATCGAACCAGAGGGCGGAAGAGCAACCCTCATGAGGAGCACCCCTACAAGCGAAACCCTTTTACTCAGTACGGGCATCAAGGGGAGACTCCGGCACAGAGCAGGACTCTTCAGCAAACGCGGAGTGACTGCCCAGGACTGTGTCGAAACGCAAATTGTGGATGTCGGGGATGTGTTTCCTCCCTTGACGGCGGCACAAAGCATGTGCGGAGGTCCGCGCAGATTGCTCGCATCGGCGCTGGACGCCCCACCCCTGGCGCACGAAGCGTGCCATGGGTGGCGCCTGAGGCGCAACCAGTCGGGGGGGGGGCTCCAGCGCCGACCCAATACATCTGCGCGGAACTCCGAAACGTGGAGCTCGAAGTGCAACCGGGGAAGACCCCCGACAGACCGGTTGCCTCTCCGGTGGGCCAACGAGGGAGGGCGAGGAGGAACATCAGTGGCGGCAGCAGCAGCAGCAGCAGTGCCATCTCTTCCGATCCAATGCTCTCCCGATCCCCTCAACTCCGTCAGACTGTGACAACGGCCGCTCATGCCGAACTCGCAGACCTCGTGCGAACAGGGGGCAAGCGAGGACAACCTGCGTGCTCGCAGCACTCGTGCAACAACATAATCCCCGCCCAAATGCGCGTGCCAACCTTCCCGGGATCGTGCACAACTCCTAGTCCCGTCGAACGCTTATTTTTGGAGGGAGAAAATGGCAGCGGACCGCGTGCTTCAACAGCCAGCGTCGTCGAAAGGCGAATGCCGCCACACGCCTGAAGCTAAGTTAAAACAAAGGGTGATGAGGCCAGGCAGGCTGACACAAGAGGAGGCGGAAGAAGGGAAAAGCAGCGGTGACAGGCCAAACGCCGGGAGCAACGCTCAAACCAACCTGCCATAGGCGAGCCTTAGCGCGCATCCGGGAGCTGTGAAAACATGCCGAACTGAAGGTTGATGTGTCCTACGGCCCAAATAGCCGTAGAGATAAATCCATAGCCTAAGGCGAAAGTAGAGCAATGAGGAGGGGAAAGAGAAAGATGAAGGGGAGAAAAGGAGAGACGACACTAATAACGGTACGACAACTGATTGACATCGTATCTGCACAAGCCCGGAAAGCCTGAGGTCCGAGTGCGAGGCCGACGGCGGAGCGCAATGACTGAAACACTGTAGTGAAACCGACGGGCTCACCAGGCCCACGATAAAAACGACCAGAGCGGGGGAGAGGGGGAAGAACATAATAGAGGGCAACCTGTCTGCCCCTCGGCCGTGCGAGAGAGGATAAGCCAGTGACACCCTGGCAACTCTCAGGTTTTCCATATGGCCATATGACTGACGGGCAATCAAATGATGCCTGGCTGCTTGCGACACCCACCCGTTCCCTGAGCAGAGGAAGGAAAGAGGCGCAGGGGACAGCGGAGGGGGGCGGTAGAGCTAGGAGACAGAAGGGGATATCCGCCGATCAGGCGTGTGAGTTACAAGGAGTCTCAACTACAGCCTCGAGGCTGAGCCTCAGCCTCCGGGGGGGTTGCCGGGGTGGCTCTGCCGGGGAAGGGGGGGTGGGGGGGGGGGGGTGCGAGTTTCCGGCGGATGCGTTTTTTGACACCCCTCACAAGGATCGTGGCCTCCGAGGGGGTTCCGAACTCGAGTGCCACCCCTCCCGCACCAAGAGGCTCCGAAGAAGCCTCCAAGAGGCCCCAAGGGGCCCAGAAGAGGCCCCCAAGAAGCCCCAAGAGACTCCCAAGAGACCCCCAAGAGGCCCCCAAGTGGCCCCAAGAGGCCCAAGAGGCCCCCAAGAAGCCCCAAGAGGCCTCCAAGAGGCCCCCAGAGGTCCCGGCCAACCACGATATCCCAACCAGCGTCCATGAGGCCTCTGACCCACCACCCACGCACGGTGGTGGGATAGGCCGAAGGCCACTGGATCCGCCGCCCCCTGCTTGCAGGGGTGCACGGCGTGCTGGACGATTCAGGTTTTGGTTTTGGTTCTTTTTCTAAAAGAACTCCCCAGTGGGCTTCGGCCCGTCCCGCCGGCCACCCGCGAATTTCCCAAAATCCGTCTGTCAATGCCCAAAAACGGCCGTTTCGCTCGGGACATCCTCAAAAAATCGCGAAGATGGCCCAAGATGGCCTCCAAGTCCGCCCGAGATGGTCCAAGACGGCCTCCAAAACGGCCCAAGAGAGTCCAAGACGGCCCAAGACGGCCCAAGAGGCCCCCCAGAGGCCTCCCAGACGGCCCAAGAGGCCTCCAAGAGGTCCTCCAGGAGAGTCCGAAGAGGCCAAAATCATTGATTTTCCATTGGTTTTTGAAGGATTTTGGCATTTGCGCCTTTTCGGCTCTCCGACGGCTCAAGACGGCCCAAGAAGCCCCCAAGATCGCCCAAGAGGCCCCCAAGAGAGCCCCATGATGGCCCAAGTGGCCTCCAAGATGGCCCCTAGAGGGCCCCAAGAGGGCCCAAGAGGCCTCCAACACGCCCAAGATGGCCTCCCAGACGCCCAAGATGGCCTCCAAGACGGCCCTGGAGCATTCCAAGCGGGCCCCAAGTCGGCCCATAGAGGCCCCCCAAACGGCTTCCGACGGCTTCAGACGTGCCAGGAACCCACCAAGATGGCCGAAGTTGGCTCGAAGCTGGCCCGAGACGGCCCAAAAAGCCCCAAAGATCGCCCAAAGCTTGCCCAAGAGGCCTCCAAGACGGCCAAGATGACCTTCAAGATGCCCACGTGTTCCCCGAAGGCTTTCCAAACCGATTCGGGGAACACGTGGTCCGATAGCTTGGCAGGTCTGGCCTCAACGTTCGGCCACATAGGCGCTTCCAAAAAGGCAGGGGGCGGCGGTGATTCGCCGTAGGCGTCTTCGATAAATGCGGAATGAAAGGGGGAAGGAAGGGAAAAGAGAGGAGGGACGAGGGCGAAGGAGGATCACATCACATCAGTCGGAGCGCCCCGGATCGGCGGCACTGGCCGAAGGCCACTACTATATATATATATATACATATATATATATACATACATACATATATATACATACATACGTATATCTGTATGTATGGTCTAAGGGTCTATATGTATATATATATAGAGAGAGAGAGAGAGAGAGAGAGAGAGAGAGAGAAAGAGAGAAAGAGAGAGAGAGAGAGAGAGAGAAAAAGAGAGAGAAAGAAACAATAATAACAACAACAAGAGAGAGAGAGAGAGAGAAAGAGACACAACAAAACAAAGAGCTCACGAATGAACATCGATATCAACGTAAACTTCTGGCTGACCCCGCAGAATTTGTGGATCGGAGCTAGACCACCTCCCTGGCGCGCGGAGGGCACCAGAAGCGGCGCTGGAGGCACGGCCATGGGGGTCTAGCGCCGATCCAATAAGTCCGCGCGGACCTCCGAAAGTGGATGTTTATGCCGTTGTGGAAAGTCGGCGTCCCCCCAACGATGCCGCGCACGCCGCAAAGCATGCAGGCACACGCAGGGCCTGCGCGCAGCGCCGCGGGCCTGCGTTGCCATGCGCGCACTGTGCTGTCTTCGATCCCTGGGCCCCCGCCCGCCCCTGCCTCGCAGGGGGGGGGTGAGGAAGGGAATGGGCAGACACGGAGACAGAGTCCGCGCGGAAGAGTCCAGGAGAGGGGACCAGGAGGGGCCGACGCACCCCCAGAGCCATGGAACGGACAATTCAACTTCCGGCAAAATCGCCCACCCACCAGCCGGAACCATACTGAACCATTCCCAAGATGGGACGGGGGAGAAGAAAAACCATCCGAACCCGACGTCGACGGTCCGCAACGCAGGTTCTGGATGGGAGGGACATGCCAGGCGGGCTGGCCTGTGCTTGGGGGGACCTGCGGGGAGCCGACAGGACTGGGGGAAAACAGCGTTTAATCGGCAACGCATCGCTGATAGATCGGCGCGGGGCTCGGGATGGGGAAGCCAGACGTGACTGGGCAGGCTGGGGCGGCCGGGCCCCGATCGCCGAGGCATGGGCGATCGGGGGCCGATGTTTCTCCCCCATGGGCAAGTCCCCCCTGTCGGCGCCCGCCCCTGGGGACCCGCATGGGCCCCCACAAAAATTACTCCACTGAAGGGTCACTCTTACGCGCAGACTGGATCAGATGCGCAGTGGTCGCGCCCCCCAACGATCGTGATCTTGACAAGTGATCTCGCGCCGCACATCTGAAAAGGAAGCGATGCGGACGCGGCCGTAAGAAACCCTCGCAAGAAACCAAACAGGGAATATCCACGCGTAAGGTACAGGCGGGAGGGAAACACCCAGAGCATCCGAAATGCAATCGTTCCATGATGCCCGCGGAGTGTCACCGCGCAGCGCGCGCAACGAAGAAACCCAATGCACCCTGACAAAAAGCATCTGGTCCCTTGATGCGCGCCAGTCCGTAACCATGTTGGCTAACTTTTCGGCTCGAGAGGTTGCTTGAGGTGTCAGCTTGGCCGACGAGCGGTCCATCTCGTGCTGGTACCACGCGCGCCCGCGACTTCCGACGGCGACCCACGAGGCTGCCCGCCACCATCGGGCGCGCACCCGCCGCTCGGCGGCCCGCGCGCTTCTCCACGCCTGAGCGGGGTCGGTCGTCGCTGGCCCTCCACGTGCGCTCGCAGCAGGCGGCCGACCTGCTGGACGGCCATCGCGGCTCATAAGCGGGCAACATGGCGCCAGCGCAGTGGGCCACGACATGGACCTGCCGCTTCTGCTCTGGACGGGCAAACCCACATCAGCAAGGCGTTCCACGAGGTGTGCAACATGTGCGGCCTCGCCAAGGGCAGCCGCTTCCTCGGGAAGGCCCGGCGACCGCTGCGCAACGCGAGAAGGGCCTCAAGGTCACAGAGGCGGAGCCCCGCAAGCGCGACGCAACCCTCGAGAAGGCCGCCGAGAAGGAAGACCATGCTGCTCCGAAGAGTCGGCAGGAGACGAGGGCACCGCTGGCGCCGCTGACAAGGTTAAGGCCGACCGAGCTCGCGCCGACCTGGACGTCCTGGACGGCATTGGGATTGAGCAGCTCCGCGCGGAAAAGCGCGAACACCTCCGCGCCCTGCAGGCAACTCGGCCGGCGGCCAAGCCCGCGTACATCCAGCGCAAGGAGCTGGACGAGAAGCTGTTCGGCAAGCGGAAGCTCGTCGAGCGCTTGGAGGGTCACAAAAATCCCCGCGGCCTCGCAGAATATCGCCGCGATGCAGGCCGAGCGCAACAAAGCGGACGCGGAAGCCCGAGCTGCCAAAGCAGCGGAACACGCTGGCGCTGGCCGTGGCGCCCTCGGCGCTCGGCGATGCCCAAGGAAGACGTTTCCCAAGCTTGCTCGGCTCGTGCGGCGCTCGAGCTGTCCGAGAACCTTGGGAAGGTGCCGGTCCACGACGCTGCTGGGCCTTATGCAGGGCGGCCGTGGACACCTAGGTGGCCGCGGCCAAGGCCGACCCCGATGCGGCGCCTTCGCAGGCGCCGCCCCCACCAGCCCCTGCCGCCCCAGCGGTCGAGGCCGCCCAGCGCCCCCCTGCGGGCCCCAGGGCCGCCGCAGCACGCCCGGCCGACACAGCTGGCCCTGCTGCTGAAGGGCCAGTGCGTGGAAGAAG